GGAGGGGGTAACATTGTCCAATGAGAAGTATGCTCTCTGACTTACGTAACTGTAACCCCTCTATCTAGCACCTTTATCATAGCAATAAAAAGAGGTACAGCCGGGCGCCGATGGCTCACACCTGTAATCCTAGCTACCTAGGAGGCTGAGACCTGAGAGGTTCAAAGCCAGCCCGGGCAGGAAAGTCCATGAGACTCATCTACAATTAACAACCAGAATTAACTGGAAGTGGCGCTGTGGCTCAAGTGGTAGAGCACTAGCCTTGAGCTGAAGAGCTGAGGGACAGTGCCCAGCACAGAGTTCAAGCACCAAGACGGGGGGGGGGGGGAAGGGGGTAACATAGGTAGGTAGGTAGATATATAGCAAAAGAGCTTGCTTAAGAGGTAGAGCAAGTACAAGGTAGGCCCTGGGTTGAAATCTTAGTACTACTAAAAATAAAATGTTTCAAAAATGACTTAAAAACTCTATTTTTCTTCCATATCAACAGACATTCTATTGCTTGTAAGTTTGGCATTGTCTCCTGGTGAATAGTTAATTATTCAAAGAAAATGAATAGAACAGTTGCTGCTAATTTATTGCAAGCTACCAGAGAGACAGTACTGACATAATCTTAAGCAGAAGCCGGGGTCCGGGTGCGCAGCATGGACGAGGCGGAGCCTCCCCATCCAGAGACTAACCAGGAAACCAACAGCCCTGCCACGCGTCCGCCATGAAGCCGGCGGTGAGAGGCCGCTTCCTTCCGGCCTGAGATTCACAAGACGCCTTGCACCACGCACTTCAGGACGCTCGTCAGCATCCATTAGGCATCCTAAGGGGAAACACTTTCTAGAAGGGGTGTGGGGTCCTAGAATGGTCTGTGCTCACTCTGTGAAGACTCAGCATGGAGAATTCCAGGCCACGAGAGAACTGGGGAAACAGAGACCAGCACTGGCTTTGTATCCCCCTACCTCCCTCCCTTCTTTCCTTCCCTGCCCCCCTTCATGTTTTCTTTTTGTTGTTGGTACTGAGGCTTGAACCCAGGCCCTGGTGCGCTCTCTTAGCTTCTACTCAAGGCTGGTGCTCTTACCACTTGAGCCACATCTCTACTTCTAGCCTTTAGGTAGTTTGCTGGAGATAAGACCTGGGCTGGCTTTGAACCGTGACCCTCAGATCTCAGCCTCCTGTGGCCAGGATGACAGGCGCGAGCCACCAGTGTCCAGAAGGAAATGCTTCATGATTAGCTGAGACTCTGCCGTGTGCTCCAGGTCTCCTCCTTGCGCTGTGAGCTGGGGTGAATCCCGAGCCGCTGTCTCCCTCACTGTGGGGATGAGGGCTGGGAACGCGCTGTGGGCTTCCACAGAGGCTCCGGGGCCCAGGACTTTGTGCCACAGCGGCCGGACATCACCCGCTGGCTTCTACAGGCTTGTCAGCCAGACCTCCGCTCACGCGCTCCATCTGTTAAGTCCGTCTGTCTCTCCAGCCCACTTTACACTGACCACAGCAGCCCGCTGGACAGAGGCAGGTGAAATGTAGCCAGCCTGAACCCCCTTTCCAAGGAGGGCCTCTGCCTCACAGTTGGGGGCCCCAGGTCCCCAGCCAGTGCACACACAGTGGGGGTTCCCAGGCTATCCCAGGAGAGAGCCCTGCACAGCAGCAGATCCACACAGCCGGGGCTCCCAGGCTATCCCAGGAGAGAGAGCCCTGCACAGCAGCCGATCCACACAGCCAGGGTTCCCAGGCTATCCCAGGAGGGAGAGCCCCGCACAGCAGCCGATCCACACAGCCAGGGTTCCCAGGC